TAGATAAGTACGAGCATGTATATTATGTGTGTTTTTACCTTCCAGCCCCTCCGCTTATGATTGTGTTGATTGCTGGCTGTCGAAAATGTTTAATTTTTGGAAAACACTACAATACGAACATGAATCGGAAATCGTTGGCCCAGTTTAGGAGTCAACTTATATGAATTGAGTGTTTTTCAGTTGGGCTTGAGGGGATAGATTATATATTAGTGTAACATTACCTACGTCCAATGAGGACGATGAAAGAGGTATCAATTAAGACTTGTTTGAGGTTAGCAAATAAATTTTCTTTTTATAGCCCCTGAAACTGATAGCGTATTGCTGTTCCACTTTGTCGGTCCCTTATCAGAGGCATGGTGCTTAGCTCTCTTTAAAATGTTGGTGTTCTCGGCAGTTTGTAGTATTTTTCCTGAGTCGTTCTCTTACAGGGTCTACAATACCTAGCTCTCTTCGAGCTTTTAGTGACTTCGGAAGTTCGGAGTGTTTTTCCTTAAACGAGAGCTTTTTTAATTTCGGAATGGACCCCAATGATCTGAGGGTTGCTTTTGGTGGACAGTATTAAGGATACCTTCTTTGTAGACTACACGTCTAGAAGTCACTGAACATTTTTTAGTTCTTTTTCCCAAGTCCCTGAGTCATTTTCTACTTCAATTATATTTGACAAACTTTTTCGTTCATCTTTAAGAAGGTTTAAAACTAGGGTGAAGCTCAGAAGACTCTTAGCTCTTGGATATAGACTATCATATCATAAACATAACCTAATTTTTCGGTGACTTATTAGGCTCTCATAATAACATTTTCTATGTAGGATAAAATATGTACCGTTATTTCACTGATGAATGATCTGTATGCCAATATCGTTTGATTATAATTTTGTTTATTATTTTTATACTTTATTTCTTAATCTTGGAACCTTGTACCTCCACGTTGCCCATAGCTACTCCTCTCATTTCTATAATTCTTTCTGGTCTCTTTTCTAACGGCACTAAATCTATCAACAAGTTGTATGTAATTGTTGTGCAAGCTTCTTATAATTGTGTCATCCTTGTTGTTGTTATCGTTGTAGTTAATTGGTTTCATTTAATTTATGAACAATACTCAACGTCACTAGCTGAGAATTTATTTTGTGATCACCAGTTGACTCAACACTTGATTTGTGATTTTGTTCAGGGCAATTAAAAATTCCACAACAAAGATTTGGAGATACTTAAGTAAGTGAAATATTTGTGAAATTGTCGCATTTCTAAGTGCATTTATAAATATATATATTTGTATATATATATATATATAAATATATATACTCATACACATATAAAAATTGTTTTCAATATAAAGAGATATATACCAATATATGTGTATATATATATAGCTTATGTGCCTTAAACCAATTTATTTGAATTAAATCCAGACGAATAAAATAAAATGATGTTGCAATAGTGATTTCTGGTATTTGTCTAGCAATTTCTTAATGTATAATAAATCTCGGAAATCCTTGCTGTTGAATTTTAAAGAAAATTTTCTCATTTTAATCTTTTGTTTGCGCAATTATTTCCCCAAAGTATTTGTAAGTTGATTGAATAAATTATTTTTCTTAAAAATTTCAATAATAACAATTTCTTAGTTACATCTAAGACACGCTGCACAAAAAAAGGTATATTTTAGGAATCTCTCAAATTGCATAACCTCCAAAACTTCCAGCTGTTTATCGCTTTTTTTTAATTACATTCAGCAGAGTCTTGTATATAAAATAATACTGATGTGATTAGAAATACCTTCCGGAAATCGGAAAATCTTTCAATCACATGTCTGTAGTACTATGTCTCGAAAGCCTAAGGTATTACAGACCCACACGAACGTGACATTGCAGCGAAAAAGTGAAAAAACGAGTCAGTTATCAAAATGAGGCTATTGGCTTTGACTATTGAACCAATAAGACTTAGTCAGAGCCGATGACGATCAGCATTGAGCTAATAAGAGCTAAGGTAATAAACCGATGAGAGCTCGGGAAAATCGGTTAGTGCTGCTTGGTTATAAAGAGTTGTTGTTACTAAATCGACAAAAAACATCCCTGCATTAATTGGAAGGAATTCTGCCGAGTTAAAAGTTCTTGGGCGGATAGAAATCCGGCGCCGTTTTGGTTATGTAAACCCCACTGACACGCGAGAATGGACTAATATAGTAGTAAGTAGTCGACTAGTGCATAGAAGAGCTAATGATATTCAGCGCAGAGAGCAGTGAATAATTACTTAGAGTCAGCGAAAGCATAAGTGAGAACCCTTGAGAGCAGGTGTGGGCGATCGAGAATCACTGAAAGCCTGAAAAAACCAAGAAGAGTTGATGAGCGCCAGTGAGAGCCGGAAAAAACCGGTGAGTGAGTACTTCAACTAGAATTAAATTCGAACTTAAAGGAAACGAGAAGCATGAAAAGACAATAACTCAATAAAATCGATTCTCAAGAAATATAATGTATTATCCATACATGATATGTCATGGCAAAAGCCCGTACCTATACTCACGTAAAAAGTCTCATACCTTATCTAACTTCTCATGAGCTAATGCTTCCACAAACACTGCGACATGTACTCACTACTCAAGCGATAGCTGCCACACACAATCTGACCGCTGCCAACAGGCAACAGGCAGCTGCCAAGAGTGAGTCATTGCATTGTAGATGCGCCAAAATGTCGACGCACCGCAAATTTAGCGACAATTTTCTGTCTTTAATTCACGATTTTTTCAGTTAACAGCAAATTATTTGTTCTTCGTTGCTTTTTATGCGGCTAATTCAAATGAAATGCAAATGCCACATTTGTGGCGGCGAAAAGTGAGCAAATCGAGTTGGTGAATATTGTGAAATGCCGAAATAAGCTGACAATTACAATAAACCGCAAATGGGTGGATGCGCCGTTAATGCCACGAATTGTGCGCACAAAGGCGCTCATATGGTTGTTGTTGCATGTTGAGCGCTTTGTAGCATAGTCGAGTGAAGGCATTCTTCCACTTCATAAGGCCCCAAAGTAGCTCGCTTTGTGTCACTTCACTGTGGCTGTGTGACATATTGACGTTCATGTTTGTGTTTGTGTGCGCAACAAGCTGACAATTGCAGATGTGTACAAACAACAAATGCGTTGCATATATGGTATACAATGCACATGTGTGTGTGTAAATATTTTTTGCTTTTCTTACGCATTTTCCGAGGCGGCAACTATTTTTGTCCGCCTTGGCACTTATCGACACTGCACTGCAATGCCTCAGCTTCACCTATGTATATGCCACCATAAACACATACATACAACATGTTATGCGTACATACTCGTAACGCTTTGTTGCACGCATATTCTTATAGTTGCGCTCGCACTTATGTTGCAAATTAGTTGCTTTGGAATTAGCGCAGAAATAATTGTCTGATTTTGCTTTGCCTTGCAGTTTACTAAGCAAATAGTATTTTCTAGACACATCCTCAGCATTTGCTAGCGAAAAGCTTACGGAAATTGCCAAAAATATACGCAAGTTTATTGGCCTAGTTGCTTTTCTGGGAATTTCAAATTATTTCAACGCATCGAAGCATACGCAACTCTGTGCGAAGATTACTCATTTCGATCGGGAAGTAAAGCGAGCTCGATCGCTGCTCAATACTTTATTGTAGCTGCAGAAAGCATTTCTCAATACGTTTTTATAATTGATAACGCTCAGCTTGATAAAAATCGGTGTTCTTTAGATTCCGGAAGTATTTAGTAAGTTTTGGTTCCAAAAAAGCATATTAATTTTGCAGTAAGTGGAGCAGCCAGATTTGCAGTAGAAGTAGATCCCTGATACTCATTAGTGGACTAAGTGCCTCCATTATAATCAACTTCAGAAACCCATGTGCTTTAATGTCAATTTAGCCAATACGATCTTAAGATTAATGTGCTGTAAAAAAAGAGAATATGCGTAGTCCAGTTATATTGTAGTTGTCTTCGATTCGCCAAGCATGAGAGATTTAACATGTACATTTTTTGACAAGAGAACAATGCTTGCTTCTTCGATGACGCCGTAAAAATTTTATTTATACCCTTACAAAACTAATATATTACGAGAAAGTACGGAATATAAGTCTCGTTTCGGGGTCGATATTAAAATGAACATTTCCTAAAGATTTTTACTGGCAAAAAGTAAAGGTAATCAGTTATTGAGCAAGCTTGCGGCAGTTCGAATACATATCAAGCTAAGCCCACCACCTTGAGTCTAAGATCCCTTTTTATATGTCTTAGCCAGTAGAGCTCGTTCGATATAATTAGAACGGACGTGGCAACCATTTACTTGTAGTACCAGAGGCTTATAACGGTTCTTGTTTGAAACTCTCCGAAACTCATCGAGCGTTTTGAGTAATTTTTAAGGTTTTTTCCCTCCATAGTGTCTTTTTAAATTTACAAAGTGGAAATTGCTTACAATCTCGAAGTTAACATATATGTAACAGTAACAGTGCGTGGAACACATAATGCTTCAAATTTATTATTTATTTTCAAACAATGACAAACGAAATATAACTGATGTTTGATTTGTTTTTTTTTTATCAAAAACACCCCAGTTTTGTGTTTAAAAACTGATTTTATAAAAACTTTTTGAAGTTTTGCAGGAAGTTTGTAACACCCAGAAGGAAACGTCGCCTATTATACAAGTATATATAAATGATCAGCATGAGGAGCTGAGTCGATTTAGCCATGTTCGTCTGTAAGACCGTCTGTTCAAAGCGACCTAATCGCTCAGTTTTTGAGATATTGATCTGAAACTTTGCACACGACCTTTTCCCTTCAAAAAGCTGCACATTTATCGGAACCGCCGATATCGGACCACTATAGCATAAAACTGCCATACAAACGGAACGATCAAATTCAAGGTCTTGTATAAAAACTTTTTTATTTGTGAAAGCTGCAACCGAAGTTTATTTTTTTGGTAAACTATTTAAATTGATTTATTTATGATTTGTAATTAGTTTTTATTTTCTTGTTTCATATTATCAGTGGAAGCCAACAATGACTAACGATAACAGTTAGGTGGTCACACTTTAAACATTAAATATTTGGCTTGCAAAAACTTTCTACTAAAAACAAAAAAAAAGTAAATTAAAATGATTTAAAAAAAAAACATTAATAATGTTAACTACACAAAAGAAAAAAAAAAACAAAGTGAAATTTGAAAATACCAAATGATGTATAGTGCGCCTTTCTTCGGTTTTCTGCTTCGGTTTGCAGTTCGAAAACTTTATCGTGAAGTTTGTTAATGTGCGTTTATAAAATATAATGCAGTGAGTATTTCCATTTGAGTCGGTTTTCGTCGGGTTTTTAATCGGTAAGCGACACTCTTACGTAATCTGTGTTCTTTAAAAGCGATCGGTTAGCTTTTCGGTAGTGTATAGTGTGTATTTTGTGCGTGTTTTTAAATGAAATAAGCTGGAATGCAATGGAAGCAATGAGTTTGCGAAAATACGAAATCGAAAATTGCCATCATGAAACCGGTAATGCAAAGTAGAAGATAGTCTACAGGCATGCATATGGTAAGTTTGCAAATAAAAACCTCTATATTTGGTAGACTTGATCTTTAATTAAAAAATAATTGTAATTAAAAATATTGTAAATTTTGTTTTTAATAAATTTCCCAACTAATTTTATTAGCTCTTAGTTTATCTATAACATGCGTGGCCCTACAGCACAATTTAATTGCTGCACTATGTGCTTAGCCTTAGGTTACTGACTTCATATGCCGAGACAGAAAAGAACACTCGGCTACGATAGGGCCTTATGATATAATCGAAAAACCTAAGGGTGATTGAAAGTAATGCGACTACGCACTTAAAGTTTTATTCTAAAAATATTAAACCTTAATACTTGCTCACCGCTATCAGCTAAGTATTTATCAAAGCCTGCGATGAGTGCAAAGGTGTGCAACACGCCACAACCAAAGGTTAAGTGTCATAAAAACATGCAAGCAACACAAGAGAATATTGCTGCAGTTGCAACAAACCAGTAACAACAACAAACAAAAATTAAAAAAATAACAACAAAAAAAACAATAAAACTCCAACCCTTATCAAGAGTGTGAATGAAAAATGAATTGAATAAAATCGAAATTTACAAAACCCAGAAAGAACTCACAATTTAAATCCCTAAAAATATCGTTGATAAAACGCGTAAAGATGCTGAGCCAAAGCGACAACCAGCTGGAGAGTTGTCATTGTTATCTGTCGCAAAGAATTTACACCGAAGAAATAAAAACAAGTGCGGCTGCTGCTCGTGCAGCATCTCCGGCGCGAACGCACTTTCTGGCAAACGCGCACGGCGACAAAGTTAAAGCGCAACACAATAACAACAACAATATACAAATAACAACAACAATATACAAATAACAACAACAATATACAAGTAAGCATACGCAGCACAGCAGTCAGTCGCAACACACCGGCCGGTCTTGCCTTGTCGCAAAGGCGTCGATAAAACCATAGGGGGCCATAAATTCTTTAGCGCTCCAGCAGGCGGCCCTGCGACATGCGCGCCGCATTGCTACGAACGGTGTTGCAAGCACGCTGCTGCCGTTGGCTGGCTCAGAAATCAATGATTGCCAAAGCCCCTTGCAGCAATGTGGCACTTTGAGCGCGCTGGACAGGGTTGGGTTATGGCCTTGCAATCTTTATACAAATTCGATTAAAAATCTCGCCGTTGCGTCTGCCCACTTTTTGCTGTTGTTGCTGCTGTTGTATTAGACGCTGGTGACAACTAACGCATTCGCCACTTTGTCTGCGCTTTGTTAGCGTTGCATGTTGTTGTTGTGCGTCTAATTTCTTCCTCATATCGGCGCACATTCATATCTGTCAGCGAAGCTCCATGCTTTTGGCTGGCTGGCTGACTGGCTGACTGTCTGCCTGGCGGCGTTGGTGTAGCGCGATAACTCTGTCACTTGCTTTGGCATTTGTTTATTTTTTGTTGTACTTTTTCTTCTCATTGTTATTGTTGTTTCACTGTTTATTGATAAATTTGGTTGTGAAAGAGAAGGGTTAGTTATTCGGTGTATTTCTCAAATGCCATTACTTACATCAATACTAATGTTTATATGCATAGCTGTACTTGTATATATGCGTGTGTGTATATATTCACATATGGTATGTAGCGAAGTGTCTTTCTGTACGCAGCGCAAACAAGAAATTGTCAAAAAGTTTGATGCATGTTTTTATTATCTGCGCTGATTGAACGCTTCCCCTCTTGTGTTCTCATTCTTGTTGCTTTTAATTTTATTTCTTCATTTTAATTCTGGAATCTATGTTCGCTTTGTTTACTTGTGTCAACTACTTTGAATCATGTTTCTTCCAAATTCAATAGATAATGGATTATTAATAGATTTATGTCGGTCATTAACGTTATCATAATTGTATGCAATGGATTCCACAGTTTCGATTTAAGTGCGTGTGCATTTGAAGAGCTTTTTACAGATTGATTTATTGAGATTTACAATCAAAATAATATTAATGAGCGGTAAAGAAGAAGAAAAGCAAGTAAAACGTTAGGTTTGGTTGCACCGAAGCTATAATACCCTTCACAATTGCAAAATATTCCTTTGAGAACTTGATTTTGATTGGTTAGTTTGTATGGCAACTACATGCTGTAGTGACTCGTTTGGACCATGTTTTTCGGAGATTGCACCTTTGCCGTGGAGAATAACTCATGCAAAATTGCGTTAAGATATCTCGTCAAATGAAAATCTTTCCATACAAGCGCTTGATTCCGATCGCGTATTTTGTATGGCAGCTATATGTTTCAGTGATTCGATATCGGCGGTTCCGACAAAGGAGCAGCTCCTTGGGGAGAAAAGAACGTGTGCAAAATTTCGGATCGGTATCTAAAAACCTAAATGACTAGTTCGCGTATATACAGACGGACTGTAAGACGGACACGTCATGCTGATCATGTCAAGCTGTTTTATTATTTTTGTTTAATATTGCTTGGCATTTCATAAAAGAAAGACTTATGCCTGAAAAATGTTTACCAATCGTTCAACTTTGCGCGCTTCGCTCAACTTATTTACTGAGCGTACTATTCGCAACACCATCACCCATCTTGAGACCCAGCATTCATTATTGGAATTGGATATTCAACTGAATAGATCACGTTCAGCATGCAGTAAAGAAAATATAGCGGCCGTAGCTGAGAGTGTATACGAAGATCATAGAGAGTCGATTCGGCGGCGTTCGCAGCAACTCGAACTGACGTATGGAATGACTTGGCGCATTTAACGTCGAGATCTTAAATTGAAAGTGTACAAAATACACCTTGTACAAGAACTGAAGCCGCTCGATTTTTCCTAGCGATATCGCTTCGCTCTATGGCCTCTTGAAAAGTTCTAAGCAGATCCGTCGTTTGCGAGCCAAATTTTGTTCAGCGATGAGGCCCCTTTCTGTCTCAATGGGTGTGTTAACGAGCAAAATTTTCGCATTTGGGACGAAGAGCAATCTTAAGAGAGCCAAAAGCTGCAATTTCATACAGAAAAAAAAACAACGGTTTGGTGTGGTCTTCAGAAATGATGCTGGTGAGAACGTAATGGTCAATGACGACTGTTATCGCACCATGATAACCGACTACTTGATGCCTGAAATTGAAGATCGTGATCTTGGCGACATTTGGTTTCAACAAGACGGCGCCACTTCGCACACATCGCATCAATAAAGGGATTTATTGAAAGAACACTTCGGTGAGAAGATATTTTCACGTTTTGGGTCGGTCGATTGGCCACCAAGATCATGTGATATCATACCGTAAGATTTTTTTCCGTTAAATGTTCGTCAGTGGAATACTTTCTAAATACCTTTAATGACTTTTTCAAACCCGGGATGGTTATTTTCCTAAAAAATTCATACATGCGTTTGCTCTCATACAAACAAAAATTCACATAAATCTAAAATCTAATCGGATTCAACTAAAATATATCTGAAATGAGCAGTAAAAATATTATATACGAGTATATAGACAGTTGCTGCGCAAGATCTGATTATTTGCACCTACATATAAATAGTTATTAAATCCGAAAAAAAACTGAAATTTGAAGCTTCGCTTCACACTAATTGTCAATTCGGATGGTTTCTCGATATATTCCAAACATTTTTTTTTTGTAGAGTTCTCGGCCATATTCACGAATCGTGGTATCTCTTAAATTTCTTAGCATCGGCTACATTTAATAAGGTCACCGACTAAACCTTTCAACTGCATCGAACCAAATACGATCAATATATGGTCTGAATTTCGCGCTGTTTTCGATCTTCCTCTCAATGGCAGCAAGGTATTCGAAATCCTTTCGAATGCAGTTCTAAGCGTATTTGTGTTTAAATACCGACAACAAACAACAATATACAATTTATCATCTTATGCATGTTGCAAAAAATAACAACAAACAACACTTAGGGACACTCATATCAATAGGCTATAAATTTGCTTTACCAATTACAAAGGGCTTCCATGAAATCACTCATTATGAGTAATAAAAATTTCCGAATACGTGCGAACATAAAAGTTTGAGTTATGAGCAGCCAGCACACACACACACATATATGCACACATATAATTCCGTAAAATGCATTAAGCTTTTACACTGCGCCAGTCTACCTGCCAGCAAGCCAGTTGGGCCAAGACCTAGGGCTACAAGTTGCAACCGAATGCAACTACAAATATTTCACGCAAATGTTTATAAAGTTACAAATACACTTGCATATGAATATGGCTTATACACAGCTTTGTTGGCTCATCGACACAATGGAACGCCACTTATTCTGCTTCTGCTGCTTTTTCTTCATCTTCATGGACCAATAAAGGGTTTCTTGGCCGTCGTATTTAATGCCGATTTATGAACTTTTATTTGAATACAAAACGCAGATATTTATTTGCCATACATTTCTCACACGCACACATACATACACATACAGCTTTTTTTATTTTCTTTGCTCTGCACTGTGCCACACTTCATTTGTTGCCGTTGCGCTTGAGTGCATAAGTAAGAACGAGGAGGAGAAGAAGCAGCAACAGCAGCAACAAAAGAGTGATCTTAGCCTGCTGGCGGTTAGCCGCTGCTGCTTCTCAAGCGTCTGCTGCTGCTGCTTCCCTTTCTGCTTCTTGGATTTTTCGCATGGCCTGACCCGACCGACCGCCATTCACCGCGCCAACGATTTTAACGATGAACTTTTTCACTTGTACTTCAACTCATATTTATTATTCGATAATTTCTTACGTTTACAATTGGTTTGTTTCGTTTAAACACTTAAAAGCGCTGGCGCACACACGAACTGGCGTTCATATGCCCCACAAGTCCTACAAGCGCGTTTATATATGAGCGCCGATATTATTTAGTTGTTTTTGTTGTTGTTTTTCTCCCACTTCATTTTGCTTTTGTTATATTTTATGTGGGTAATAAAATTGGCATCCCCACAATAACAACAAAAAGTAAAACAACACTACCAACATTTGGCTGCCTCAACTTGGCCAACCGCGTTCCGTTGTAGACCGCTGTAGCCAATGCGCA